AGACGACACCATGACTCTTACCCCTGCATTGCTTTGGCCTGCTTATGGAGTGGCAAGCTGGACCCTCTACTGTTTGTTCTGTCTATTTCGGAACTATTCAGTGGCTCGCAAGACTGGATTGCCCATTCGTGTCATCCCCATTGATCACACCAATGCGTTGTGGACGCTGCTGGATCGCAAGGTCCTCTCTCTCGTCCGGAAGCTGCCCGGCATCCTTGGAGATAACAGCTTCACACGGTACAACTTCCGGACATGGGAGCTGCATGATCGATACAAAACACACCGCGAACTGGGCGACGTCTTCATCATGGTTACCCCAGGGAGAAATTGGCTCTACATTGGGAATCCGGACCTGATCATGGAGATGTTTCGGCGGCGTACAGATTTCCCACAATGCATTGAACTCACCGAGATTCTCGATGTTTTTGGCAAAAACCTGGGAACTGTAAGATTTCTATTGGTTTCACAGCCTCTCTAGAACTACGGGAGTCATGCAGCTAACCCTCCACAGGTCGAGGGGAAACAATGGCAATCCCAGCGCAAGATGATTGCAACCTGCTTCAACGAACAGAATTACGAGATTGTCTGGTCTGAGAGTCTCTCTCTTGCTGCTGACATGCTTCAGTACTGGACCAAGAAGCAGTCAATCACATCGTCCGCCGACGATCTTCGCACACTCTCTCTGCATGTACTCACTGGAGCCGGGTTTGGTAAGCATTTCAAGTTTGAGGGTCACGACGAAAGGGGCGATACCAGCGTATCCGGCAACTACAAAAATGCCCTCCAAATGATCCTCGAGAACTGTATCCTCATTATGGGGATAGGGCCCAGGGCGCTAGCAGTAGCAAGGCCCTGGCTTCCAAAGAGCTGGAAGCTCGGAGTACTGGCCGAGACTTGTGCTGAGTTTCAACGCTTCATGACGGAGCTATACGAGGAAGAAAAGGCTAAGCAGGCGTTTTCTACTGCTCGCTCCGTGAAGACCCTCATGAGCTCTCTTGTCCGCGCATCGCAAGCAGAGGCCAAATCCGGAACCGGTTTGACGGAGAGTGAGATCTACGGTAATATGTTCATGCTGAACTTTGCCGGGCACGACACCACGGCACACACATTTACCTTCGCCATTCACTTCCTTGCAGCACACCCAGACGTCCAAGCCTGGGTTTCGGAGGAAGTGCGGCAAGTCCACAGCGACTTACAACATGAGTGGAACTACGCTGCAAATTTTCCACGTCTCGTGCGCTGCTTGGCCGTCATGCTCGAGTGTCTTCGTCTCTACACGCCTATACCTGTGGCGAAATGGACAGCTGGCAGCTCCGCAACGCTAAAGGTCGGTGACAGGATCATAACTATTCCCCCAAATACAATGGTTATCCCTAGCCACACGGCTGTTCACACAGAGCCTGAGATCTGGGGTAGCGACTCGCTCATCTGGCGGCCATCGCGCTGGATCAAAACACCTGGCAAGCCAGGAGAGGAGGAACTTATCACTCCTCTGGAGGGGTCCTTCCTCGGGTGGTCTGAAGGGGTGCGGAATTGTCCTGCGAGGAAATTCTCGCAGGTTGAGTTTGTGGCCACCATAGCGACGCTGCTCCGGGACTGGCGTGTCGACCCGGTGCCACTCAATGCTAGCGAGAGTGGGGACGACGCGCGGAAGAGGGTGATGAACGTGATCGAAACCGATTGCGGTGCTGTACTCTTGCTGCAGATGCTGCACCCTGAGCGCATTGCGTTGACGTGGTCGAGGAGGTCTGGCTGAGAAAGGCTCAAACAATCAGGACATGGCACAATGCCCATCAGTGATTTCGCATGTGCCGAAGATTCGGAGTCCACGCTGGTTGGTGGGTAGTTCTCGGTTTGTGTCAGTTCTGTGCAAACATTGTGTATTTGATAATTAGATCAGTATAGATAAGCAGTGGAGTGCTTACTGGTGAAAGCGTCAAGATCGATCCCGTTCCCCCAAGTCTAGGTATAATAGAGACTGGCGCAGATGCCGTGGAATTCTGCATGATTACCTATGTAGTCAAGGATAGTTTTGTAACGTCTCAGATGGCGGCTACTAGGAACGGTTTGTTGCGGTAAGGTGATTACACCTACCTACTAGTAGGTATGTGAGCAACTACATTATCCATCGCGACCGATATCGCTGTAGATGCACCTTGTAAGCTGCTCCGAGAGAGTTTGCAACTCTAATAGGTTGGTCAGGGCTAAGATGTTGAATACCTACTAAGTACATAGGTAGGTAGCAGTTTGGAGGCGGAACACTGTTTGTTCTTCTCCATCCCGATCCCGAGCCATGACATCAAACCCACGACTACTTAGCCATGTGTACTTCGTAAAATAACTCGGGAGACAGACTGGACCCGAAGATGCGCTCTCTCGGTGTCCTACAAGGGCCCAGGTCCTTGACAGCACAGTACCCTAGGGTATTCTTGGCCAAACAACGACATCGTGAAGCCTAGATGTAGGCCTAAGGGGTCTTTCCACTCGATATACCGGCCTGCGGGACGTATCGTTTGCATGCCACTAGTTAATTTGAGAACTGGAGGACTGCCTGGCATACAACACGAATCAAGCCCACATATGAACATTCACACGCCTGAGTCTCGCTTCCTATGCAGATGGAACAAGCAGTCGTGTGAGCAAACCCGAACATCCTAAGTACCCAGGTGGTTACACGTGGGTAACTTAAGCAACGTGCCTGTTGAATGGACGGAAAATCTTGGCGAACCGAAGTTGAGCCTTACTGTACCCGACTCCAATTCGAGATACATACAACTTGCTCTCTTCGCACCTCTCTTGGAGGAAGGTTAGGGTACATATGCAGTAACTAGTCGTTGGATGCTTCAACTACTAAATTTCTGCACAGTCTCTTCCTTACATCAGCCGTGCAGTCTATCTCCGGATCATTCAAAGCCTTCTTCGCACTGGCTCATATTCACCTGGCATTCAGCCGCTATGCCTCTACCGATCCACCAGCTGTGTACACCCTCGTCTTCGTAAGGAATGGTACGTGATATGATTTCCAATGTCTAGATTCTCTTCGAGGCTTACAAGTGACAGGCGAAAATTTACAGCTTCCCAGTATCTGGAGTACTTGGACGCTGTAAAATGCCTGATCAATACCCCTTCTCAGAAAAGTGACGTTTTTCCCGGGGCAAAATCACGATTTGATGACTTCCAAGGCCTTCACATATAACCGATGATTATCATTTCTGATTGAGTCCCTTACGTCTTACTTTGGGTCGTGGGAGCGGTCTGTGACTGATATTAATCATTGACTGCCTGATAGAGCCAATTCATCCCATGGCATCGATACTTACTGCACTTGTACCAGAACGCACTCGAGGAGAGCTGCAACTTCACCAGAACCATGCCGTTAGTCAATCCCAACACGGTTTGAATGCCTACTATTCTTCTTTTGGTCCACACTAAGTTTTGCTAGGTACTGGAAGTGGGCCCTTGATGCGGTCAGCGAGGAGGCTATACCAGCTTCACCTATCTTCGACCCAGTCTACGGGTTCGGAGGTGCGAAGCTGAACGTATACCAATCTCTGTGCAGGTGTTAATGATGTCTAGGAAACGGTACTTATATTGCCAATGTGAGCGGCCTTCCTGACGACTACCAGGCTTTGGTAGAGATACCGCGCCGTACGGGCGGTGGTAAGTGTGCCCGGAACCGCCGATATCACATGCACTCGAAGAGACTTGGAAGTACTGACTCTCTTAGGCTGTGTCACGGACAGGCCATTTGCCAACATGAATGTCTCTATGGGGCCAGGAAACTATACCTCGTACAATCCTCATTGTCTCCGGCGTGACTTCAGCCCGTAGCTTTTCACACTATCTGGCAACCAATCGGTAGTAGACTGGACACTGAATGCGACGGATTTCTGGCACCTGGACTACTACGTCGAAGGAATCTCTCTCAGTGTTTATGGATGAGGGTACATGCAGCTGGTCATATGGGCTTTAGCGGCCAGATAGGCGAGGTAAGTAGTACGATTTTATGCAAAGAGGAAGATACTGATTCCGGTTCCAGATGAACAACGTGTACTACCGGCGACCCTCTGTCCTATGCTCATCATGGAGGCATTGACTGGATGTGGTACAGTTGGCAGCAGGCCGGTATGTGCTCACCTTGGAAGTCTGTCAACCTTCATTCATGGTGTGGTTGGCTAACCCATGCATCCAACAGACTGGCCCGCGAGAAAGACTGATATTGGTGGCCCGAATGCGAGCTGGGCGGGATATTATGCGTATTTTGGTGACGTGGCATACAAGAACATCACGTTGGATACGCTACTATATTATGACAAGATGGCTGATACAATCACTGTACGAGACGTCATGGGCTACCCAGAGTGGCCCGTTCTGTTACGTATATGAGTGAAGGCTTTACTTTGTTGGAGTGCTAGCGGAATTATTACGCAGTGCGAAACCAAAATCAATCAAATGCAACAGCCGAAACGGCCTAATTTGAAGTTGAAGTGTCGGGATAGCCAGCATAATTCTGGTTTGTTGATACTCGAGTCTAATCCAAGAAGTTGAAGTTTCTTGTAAAGCCTCACTCGTGTTTTTACGGCGTGCATTAATGTTGCACAACCAACAAAGTCCAGGATCATATGATTGCAGATCTTCCGAAATCCCGGAACTCCTACTCCTTAATGCTTGACATAGGAATAGACTTGGAGTGCTTGAACTAGCCTTGAAGTCTTTGACGACGCGCATGTCTTATAACCTTGCCTCAGTTGGAACCGAACAACAAGGAGACAGGCTCTCCTGACATAGATTTCGAGATTATAGTATGGCATACTATACAGATATATATCACATACATTCCAAATAAGTCTATATTTCTTCATAATTCGCAAGAAAGGTTTGAATGACTTTTTGTTTCTTCACTCTGTTCAGATGTCAGTAATGCAGGTCGGTGGAGCAGCAGAGCTGTCGCACGTGCGTGGTTCTAGTGGATATAAATGATTTGTGTGAAAATTCTTCAAGCCTTCTTGGCCAAGCGGTAAGGCGTCGCACTCGTAGAAGATCTATTTCCGAAAGAGATATGATTGAATACAAGTTATGCGAAGATCGACGGTTCGATTCCGTCAGGAGGCATTCATTGAGAGAATCATAATTTCTTTTTTGCTCTTCTACTCTAGAAATCGAGACTCTATCCGGTGCTTACTTGGATACCTAGCTATAATACCTGATATAAACAGCTCAGTACTTCGGTTCCAACACTTACAAGCGTGTTGTTTGGGGTAGGGATACTACGGTTTTGGCCAATGTATTGCATGGCAATATGAAAACCAAATGTTTGTTATAAAAATAAGACAGCTACGAAGGGGCGCAGTACAGGGGTGGACGTAATCAGTCTAAATTACTTACGGCTTGGCGGCACCGACCATAGAGACGCGGCGCCGTGCCCAGCCGTTAGTGTTCATTATTTGTGGCGCTGTAGAACCATAACACGTGCTCCGGTGCTCTAGTCTTTCGATTCTGGCATATTGCAGCCGTCATTAAATCTGGGGTTATCACATCCTGCACAGTCGTCCCTGAAGCCAATGGCTATATCAACACCACATGCCTTCTAGGTCGGCATGGAGATGCGTCAGACAGGATATGCCTCTGGCCGGCGATAATCTCCATCCTTCATCCTTGTCGGTGTTGACAAGGGGCAGGAAGGTTGTGTCCAAGGTTAAAACCGAAGAAATGGGCATTCTCCGCAAGATCGGCACCGTTGCATATGGAGATCCAGTGAGAGATCCATTGATTGGCATCTCCAAACCTGGGGAAGTACTTAAGAGAGACGTCGGAGACCCGGAACGTCAATCAAGGCCGGGTTTGCAGACAACAACACAATCGGCGGAGATGCATCTATAGAAGAGGAGTCCAGATGTCGCACGACAGAGAGCAGCACGAAGGCGATACGGCAGTACGGCAATTGTAGTGGAATCGCATACGCGTGCCATGCCGTTTCGTATCGTAAAGCCGAAACTGGCGAGTCAAGGGGCCCGCCGCCACCATTGGCCAAGATCGAGGAGCGTCCCAGCCGACCAGCCAAAACAGGGCCGGTGGAGCCTTTCCGGAGTCGAGATTCGAGAAGAGCGAGATTGGGTACCAATTAGATCAATCCCTTGGCATTTTCCAGGGACTGTCAAATCGACAAATCGGGCTTCGATGTCAGGATGTTCGGTCGAGACGCCGATCAACGACGCTCGATCGGTTAAACGATAGTTTCCAGAACAACATGGAATTACATCCCTTTCTTCAGGCACCAGGAGCATGGCAGGCATACAGATACGCAACCACTTGTCTCGGCTACCATCGCACTCAGTCGTGACGAGATTACTGATAAGATGAAGAGATGGGAGAGCAAGTCAAGCGAGATCTCTTGGTCCCACCACCGTGGATCGAATCGCGGTCCAGGCTGGGGTTTCAAGGTCCCCCTTGACAGAGTTCACGGTTGACAGCGACAAGGGTCTGGATTGGATCCACATTGGCAGCTTGCGCCTCATCAATTAGACCCCTTTCTTTCCGAAGCAGCAGGGAGCTCCTTTCGACTTCGTTTGAGAAGCCGTGTGGACGAGTTGCTGTTAAGAACATGCATCCCTACATGAGCTGCTGAACCTTCGGCAGCCCCTCTCTTTCTTTCCCCTTCCCTCCGGCTTTCGACCATCACGACATTCCTTGCCCACACGTTACTATACACTATCTCATCCCACCCCGCGCTCATTTGCTTGCTTCCTTCTCCGGTGTCGTGTATCCGAGCGTCCCGTGGCACGTATCTCGACCAGGGTGAAGAGATGAGGCTCTCCTCGGTGACCTCGATATGTCTGGCGGCCGCCATGACACCGCTGGCACTGGCTGTCGATATCGACTGGACTTCTGATAGTGCGTCAACTCACCCGACATTACCCATGTCATGTACATGGAATGTATCCTCCCCCGTAAACCAGTTGGGCCCCTTTTCGTCAGGGGCCATGCATGTGAGCTAAAAGACATCGTGAGCTGACGGGACGCCTCCAGCCTCGATCAGGGATGGCGCATCAACGATAGCATACGGCTTGATGAAGTACTACACCGGAAATAGGACCGGTGATGTCCCAGGCAACCTGCCAGACCCGTACTACTGTATGTCAACCTCGCCAACCAATGCCGACAACCCGCGCAATGCTGACCGTTGATGATGGGACACAGGGTGGGAGGCAGGAGCCATGTTCGGAACCATGGTGGATTACTGGGCTTACACAGGCGACGAGACGTACGTCAACGAGACATATCAGGCGTTACAACATCAAGTCGGTGATGATCACGATTTCATGCCCGCCAACCAGACCAAGTCGGAAGGAAACGACGAGTGTGTACAGCCACATACCATCCTTGTCTCCCACGCCCAACTTGCTAACCACTCAAGTACAGTCAAGGATTCTGGGCACTCGCCGCCATGACGGCGGCTGAGATGAACTTCCTCAACCCCAATGACACCACCGTCGGCGGCGTCCAGTGGCTGGCGCTCGCCCAGGCCGTCTTCAACGAGTACGCGGCGCGCTGGGACGCGGAGGACTGCGGCGGCGGCCTGCGGTGGCAGATCTTCACCTTCAACAACGGCTACACGTACAAGAACACCATCTCCAACGGGTGCTTCTTCAACATCGGCGCGCGGCTGGCGCGCTACACGGGCAACCAGACGTACGCGGACTGGGCGACCAAGATCTACGACTGGATGGAGGGCGTGGGCTTCATCACCGACAACTACGAGGTCTTCGACGGCGCGGGCTACGCCTCGGGCGCCAACTGCACGGGCATCGACAAGGTCCAGTGGACGTACAACGCGGGCATCGTGCTGCACGGCAGCGCCGCCATGTACAACTACACCAACGGGTCGTCCGAGTGGGCCGCGCGCGTGAGCGGCATCCTCAACCACACGTCCTCGTACTTCTTCAACAACAGCGTCATGTACGAGCCCGCCTGCGAGCCCGAGTCCTCCTGCACCACCGACTCGCTCTCCTTCAAGACCTACCTGGTCCGCTGGCTCGCCGGCACCGCCCAGCTGGCCGAGTGGACCTGGTCGACCATCGGGCCCCTCCTGTCCGCCTCGGCCGTCGGCGCCGCCGAGCAGTGCGACGGCACCGCCACCGTGGCCGACGGGTACAAGGGCCTCAGCGGGACGGCCTGCGGCCAGCACTGGGTCGACGGGGCCACATGGGACGGCACCCACGGCGTGGGCCAGCAGATGGCCGCCCTGTCGGCCGTCTTCTACTCCCAGCTCAAGAACTGGAACGTCGCCGCGCCGTACACGCGGGACACGGGCGGTACCTCGACCGGTGACGCCTCGGCCGGCCAGGACAAGGACGACTCCTCGCTGAGCGACCTCAAGACCATCACGACGGGCGACAGGGTCGGTGCGGGCTTCCTGACTACGGTGGTCGCGGCAGCCCTGCTGGGCGGTTGTTTCTGGATGGTGAAGGACTGAAGGGGCGGGATGGAGAAAGGGAAAAACCCAGTGAGCTTTGGGGAGATTTGATCTTTGATTACATTTTGGTCCTTGTCGGCCTCGCATATTCATGGTTGCTCTGCATGCATTGGGCTTGGGAAGGAGATTCTCGTTGGACATTGGTGTCCTGGCGTGGCGTTTGGAGTACTGTCAGCATTTGTCCCGTTGAAATCTTCTTGCATATGGTGATATAATATATCAACAGAACTGCATAATTCACTTTGATTGCGAAGCGGACCCTTGAGGGCCAGTCTGACCACTGCACTGTGGTGATTGAGAAGACTCATGTGAATTCTCGACACGATCACTCGTCACGCTTCAACCAACATTACGAAAGTGAGACGCAACGTTTATATTGTATTGACGATTTCCAGTGCCGAGCTCTCGAGGACCTCGAGGACCTCGAGGTCAAGGTATCTAGTGATAGTGTAGACGGGCGTATAAACAGATCCAATGCCTTCAAGGTCGGCCATCTATTTGTTTCACCTGCCTACCGCACAACTTTCGACTTGCACCATGGGTCTGCGGTGGCAGTGTTCCTCAGCGAGCTTCGTGTAACCCAGCAATAGAGATGTTGACCTCTTTGCGTAGCCACGAACATGCAATTGCTGCCTGTCTCCTAACAGACCATTACAGTGGCTTTCAGAACTCGTCAATATCCCAGTCACAACCGTCTCGTGCTTTGGCTGAGAAGGAGATATCAGTCTGGCTAAAGGCAGATTGAAGCAGATCCAGGTCAACTTGCGTTAGACTGTCGTCTGGGTCATCCAAGATACCGTCATCAATGAGATCGTCGCCGTCGCCACGAACCTGGTACATCACAGTGACCTCACGAAGGTGAGGGTGTTCTCGGACCATATATGGCTGTTGGGATTCATTAGCGAGGCGCACAAGTTGCGGTACATGTAAGTGGCTGGCGAAGTTGATGTGAAAACGGCGGATGGAGATCGGCAAGATACTGGCAAGAGGGAACTCGCGAGGGGCAATTTCACCATCGCGAGGCAAAGGAATGCAGTTGCTGTGGATCCTCAACTCTTCCAATGCTGGGAGCTGGCGTAGCTCCGGCACTTCAGAGGGAGGCTCAGAAGGGTACGCTCCTCCAAGCTGCAGTCGCCTTAGCGTATCCTTGTGATAGCTCTTCAGAAGTTGGACCAACTCATTCAGGGGGTGGTGGGTATGAAGACTGGCGCCTGCCCACGGCCAAGTCAATGAGAACACCTCAAGTGAACGTATGAAACGAAGTGCCTGTCTGAAGGAATTAGTTGACAAGATGTGGCTACACTTCAAGTGCAGCTGTGTGATATTCTCCAAGAAGGCGTGGTCTCGCTGTAAACACAAGATTTCCCGGGTGTGGAAGCTGGAAAGCTGGGGCGCAAGCGAAACGAGCCCTTTGCAGGTTTCAAGGAGCCATGGGCGGGTGTGTTTTGGCGGCACAAACAAAGCACATTGCTTCAGCTGCGGCCACACCACGTTCGCGGGCCTTTGCGGTGGGATACGCTGGCGTCGAGTTCCAGCAATGTCATCAAAGACTCCAAAAATGTCCGTTGCCGTTTCGGGAGTTTCGAGGTGCAGTTTCTCGATGCCACTGAGGTGAGCGATGATGACCTGGGCGAGCGTC